GAGTAAGAGATGGATAAGTAATATAAATATCATAAAAGGTAGAATAAGCAATAGGACTGGAAGTGTAACATCTCGATTCTTAATTCCCTGATTTAATAAGATTAATAAAGATAATTAAATAAGTTAATGTGATATGTGGTAAGAGGAGAGTAACAAGTATTTTTAGTTGGAATTTAGGTAGAAATTAGTTCTAAAATGAAATTGGGTCACTTAGGGATTAAAAAGTGAAGAAAAACAAGCTAAAAAATCTCTGTGCCACATCTCGTGGTGCATGCACGGTGTGCCGCAGCGTATGGGGCCATTAGGTGAGAACTTCCTTCTCTGTACCGCATGTTGCGGCATGTGGTGATAGACATCACGACGCACGGTGTGAATTTTGCAAAATTTAGACGCGAACTGATACGAAGAATAAAAAGGAAAGGAAAATGGAGGAGCTCATATTTGCTCTACTAGGGCACGACTTAGATGAGAATTTGATAAGATTTAAAGCTTTAAATCATCCAAGGTAAGATTTCTAAACTCTTTTTCTCTTTTCCTCTTTCATTTTATCAAGGATTTAAGTTAGGGTTTAGATGAGAATGGTGATTTCAGTCCATATAGGGTATGAGTTTAAATCTATTAACTCAAATGGAGTTAAAGAAAGTTGTTTAGAGTATTTTGATCTAGTATAAATGATTTTGGTGGTTTTTGGATGATGGGCTCTATTTATATCTGAAAATGGACATTAAATTTGTTATTTTTGTGGTTGTTGAGGTATTAATGGCAATATGGCTATTGAAGAAAGTTAATGATGTTATAGATAGATAATGAACCTAATAGATAGGCTCCAATTCATGTAGAGTGAACATTGGCCAATTTAAAAGTAGAGATTGAGGGTTCAAATGCTTGAGTTGATTATGTTGATGAAATTTAACTTGATTGATGGTAGTTTTAGCTCTTGGTTACCTATTGGATTAAAAAATTCAAGCCTAAAAGCTAGTAGATTGAGAGGTAAACCTTTGACATCTCAAAAATTTGAGGTAATCAGGAAAAATTTTACTTTAGGTAATTACATGTCAATTGATTGATAATTGATTTTTAAATGTGGATTGTGAATCTTACATGCATGTGATTGATTTTCAATATGAAATCATGTATTAGTTGTAATAAGTGTATGAGAATTTGAATGTGATGTTTTGTAGAAGTAATCAAGCGTTAATGAGAAGTGAGTTTTGAGATAAGTGATAATAATGTTGAAAAAATAATGAGAATACATACTTGGGTAGCGCATGGTCGTGAGCCTAATGTGATTATTGTGATAATGAGCAAATAAAAATGAAAATGTGAAAATGAGTGAGTATTAATTATGGCATGATTAGTGGCAGAAGTTTGCCTAGCGATTGGGTGTAGAGAAAAGAAATCCATATGGTATTTAAGCTACCCTCTAATGCACAGGGGTATAGTCTTGTCCTATAGTTTGTCGTGAAATTGTCCCATAGTTTGTTGAAGGACTAGAACCTAGCTCTCTCTACCGATTCAAAGAGGAGAATAATTTAAGGTAGGAGATAGTTTAGGGATTTGAGAATGGGGGAAGCTGTGGTTCGAGAGTGAGTCTTGTGATCTTTGACCAGGTCACATCTCACGATTGGTGAGCTTGGGTAGTCTAGTCTCACGAACGGAGCCTTAATCAATGTTATAGTCCACGGCTTCAGTCTAAGAAAATAAGGAGGATATAAGGTTGGTTGATTATTGCTTAAGTAAATATATGACGTGTCACACGTGTTAAATGGTGGCATGTTGCGTGAATAATGGGTCATGTCACATATCTGATAATATGGTGACAATGCAACTAGTTATGAGAGTTAAAGAAGTTATTTAATAATAAATTATAATATATGATAAATGCCGGCATGTTTTACATTCTTAATTTTCTTGTGGATGTATTTAGTTTATAATTGATATGTAACTACACAGGATAGGTTTAACCTTTGTTACTGAATGGCTAAACTCACCCTTTTCATTTAACATTTTCAGGCTCTAGCTCTTATATTGAGAGGGAGAAGATTCAGGAGGCTAGAAATTCATATTCCTACTGTATGCCTCTACTTTAAATTTAGTTGTGTAATAGTATATGATTTGCCAATTTTAGAATGCATGCCATCATACTTGCACTATTTTGTTGTTGGAAATGTTAGATTTGTATTTTGAGCTTTTAGTCTTTGTGTATGTTTATATATGTATGTTTATAAGGCCAAAATACTAGTGTAAGTGTAGAAATAAAGATTTAAACATGTTTTAATGATTTAGGTAAGATGCAATGACAAATTACCTCCCCCTCTATTTTTGGTAAAATGGAGTTAAGAAGTAAATTTTTGTTACACTATTGTTTTAGTGTTTGTAACGTGTTGTACTGATAGTCATAAGTCCATAGGACATGATCCAGGTACTAGGAAAAGCTTTTTAGCACTTGTTGAGGATTTTGGACACCCATTTTATGTAAAAGTGTTGAAAAGTGGTTAAAATATGTTTGAGTGTCCAACTTTCTAGTATGACTTATTTTAGAAGTGAAACTTATGTCATTAGCTAGTTCATGCAAAAAGTTTTTCGTAAACACTTAGGTCACGTCAATCGGACTTCAGACGGAGAATCGAGGCAAGTCAGAATTTTTCCTGATTCTGCTGTCAAATGACAGCAAAATCAATTGAAATTTCATGCAACACGCCATGTGGCACATTACCCTATATCACAGCACATGTCTTATTTTTCAACCATTTGTGACTTCTTTCACTCTTCTGAAATATCCGTAACTTATTTTTACTCTGATATAAAAGATTTTGATTGATTGAAACTTATTTTTATTTAAAAAACTTGAGATCTCTTACTTTTAAATTGAACTTTGGTAATCATCTTATTAAGTTTCTGATTATCTAATGTTATATTAGTTAATTATGTTTAGTGGAGTGAGAATATTTCAGGAAGCATATGTACAATTGATTTGTGCTTGATGATAAGTTAAAGGAGGATAAGCAAAGGATTGGTCAAACCTGTGATAGCAAAAGAGAGCAAAGTGCTCAAGCTCAAAGCAAACTTGACAAACTAAAGTAGGATGGGAAAATAAGTTGCTACCACGACCACGATGTCCACATCCTCCACAGCCATGATTACTACCACCATCATGATGGTGAAACTAAGATTGAGTATTACCAAGCAAAACAGTAGGATGTGGTTGTAAAAACCAGCTCCAAATGGTTCAGCCTTGGACTGAGCATTAGGTAGAGAAATCTTTAGGAGATAATCAATAAACACTTTAAGCGATTCGGTCTATTTAAGTTCATGACCAATAAAAAGTGTCTCAATTTCACTTAAGGTGAATGGTTCAATGTGTTAATGGAGGAAATGATTGACTCATACTCTTTAGGCAAGCCTTTAAAAATGACTTCGATCTAGTCTTGTTCAATGACAGTGAATAACAGTAATGAGTGAGTCCGCCAATGCTTTGACTCGCAAAACATATTCTGAAATTGAGTTATCTTCTTTTTTGTATTACAAAGATCCTTTTTGAAGAGATAAATCTTAGCTCGATGATGAGAATAAAAGAAATCAGAGATGCATTTCCAGGCAGCAAAGTAGGTTGTGCAACCAACAAGGTGAGCTAACATACTCTCGGACACAAGCGATTGAATCCAAAAAAAAATATAAGCTAATCTTGACTGTACCCCCGAAGAAATGCAAGAAAAACCACAGTGAACTCAAGATCTTTGTCGATGGGCACTGCAGCGAAGAACACGAGGTTTTGATAAATCTTTGGAGATTGTGACCTCTAATGGCATCTTTGACTTGTTGACGCCAAAGTAAATAATTCTTGTCATCAAGCTTCACAGTTATGTTATGCGAGAAAGTAATAGGCTCTCCCTTTACTAAATCAAAGACGACGAGCTTAGAGTTTAAAGAGGTGTGAGAAGTTTTGGACGCCATGGTTAGGGTTGCAGCTTTGATACCATATTAAGGTTCTAGCACATATAGATAAATGAAAAGGGCAAAGATAAATTGTATTATTCTGAATGTATGTGTTACAATATATATAATATGAGGCCATCTGAGATGCACACGTGTATAGCAACTAACAACTCATCATTATTACACAACAAATATATTAGTTACTAGTCCCTGTTTAGACTTGGGTAATCTATCTTTGTGCTCTATTCTAGGAACACTTGTTTAAAGACAACAAGAAGGGCATTCTCATCTTTATCTTTAACACGCAGCAAAAGAGCGAGAACCCTACCTCAACAAAATATTCAACACTTCTGTTTCAAACTTCATGTGATATAGCTGTCACAATTTTACACGAACTTTGTTTTTTTATTTTTGGGAGAAACTCACTTTTGCAATTTGACCAAAAAAAATAATTATTTTTCAATTTGTTATAATTTAAGTCTTTAAAATTTACTTAGTTACAACTCAAACTTTAAATTTTAATCTTTATATTTTTTATCATTTAAAATATCAGTTCCTGTATTTTAAAAATAAAATTATAAATATTAAAATTATGTTAAAATTTATAACTAATATTTTAAATTACTCAAACTTTTTAATCTTTATAGAGAATATAAATATTAAAAATTTAAAATATTTTCAATCTTTATAATTTTATTTTTTAAAATATAAAAATTAATATTTAAATGATTGAAAGATTAAGCTGCAAAAGATAGTTCAAAATTACAACTAAATTAAAAGTATTAAAACTGGATTATCAAAACTAGATCAAATAATTGATTTTCTCTTGACAAAATTATTAACTAGGGTTATCCCATGATGTTTGGCACAGAATAGCTGACTTCCCAAGAGTCACATCTCTCCCCGAAACATTTTGAGAGACCACAACATTTCAAACTCAAGCGCTTAGCCTATCAATGATACACACCAATTCTTTGTTAAGGCTATTTCGAGGTGAAAGACCACCTTTTCAAAGATCACAAATTTGCTGTAATCCGTAATGATAATAGAACAATAGTCGACGATTGTTCAGATGATATGAATACGGTGGATTAATCACTATAGGCTTTATTTCTTATCAATTTTTTCTTTTAAACAATGACTGAGATTTACTTCTCACTTAAAAAACAGAAACCTAGGCTTTTAATCATATAACTTTACAGAAACGGGCCAATTCCTACTTCTGAATCCTGATCCTAACGCTACTTCTCTGGTTTAATTTACAATCGCATCCCATGACCGCAGGGAACTCATCGTATGCCAATCGTCAATGCAATCTGAATTCTTGGGTGTCAAGCGTGAGGGATGAATAAATTATTTTTGGTCAAGGAATGAATAAATTATTAACTCTATGCTGAAGCGTTGAATTATGTAAAGTTGCTATCCACCTGGTTGCTGGCACCAATATGCTTGGAAAAGTTCTTTCTGTACAGATCTCCTTCACCCAACAATGATATATCCTCACGCGACAATATCATGGTACCCTTGCTCAAGTAATGTTGAGCACCCCGCGCCCTGCATTGAAACATCATGCACTTCAAGAAACTATACGGGTGATTGCAGGATTATTTTTTCCAATCAAGCAAAAGGGCTTGAAAAAACATAGAATTTACTTCGCAAACATATACCTTCGCCTTCTCGTCTTTTCAGCACCTTGTGATATGCGCAAGTCTTCTAACCTTGCGATAAGGCGCAACGAAGATAGATATTCATTGAACGCAACGCCTTTCAGTGCCAAGGATAATCTTGCGGGAACAGTGGACTGGACTACGCTGAACAGTGATGTCTGCATTTGGCTGCATCGAAGGTGCCAAAGCAAGGTTGACATATAAACATGCCCAAAACACAGTATAAATGAATGAAAAGTAGCAGAAGAAAGTCTGTCATACAGGACATCCGTTAAGATTGGATACTTCATGAGTTACAAATTATTCTCTCCAAGACAGCTGAATTGCAGTTCTAAATTCTTTTTTATTCATTATATATAAGAATACGACATTCTAATAATTCATTTTCAATTAAACACAAGCTGGCTGTTTAGTATTAGTAGTAGCAACAATCAAAGCAACAAAAACTATAATAATATTAGAATTTAACATTAAAGAATCCAGCTGAATTAGTATAAAACAAAAACAAGCTTTATCTTACTAGATAGGGAATTAATATAGTGAAGGAAAGTTATATTCCAAGGATAAGGTTTGCTAGGGAGTACTTAATTATTTATTAATTTTCAATCGGTTTTGCTTAAGTTTTGAAGTGGATGACAATAGCAAGAAGAAAACAAAAAAGAAAAAAAAACATCCGTAGAATGAAAAAATCCAAGTCCACAGAAGCTTCAATGTGTTATTAAAATTGAAGGATGACTACCGTGCATGGACATGCGTATATGAATAGGTAAACAGCATGAAATTATATGTATAAACTACGATATTGCAGCAACAATATATACCTATCTGGCAAATCGTTTCTTGACTTGTTCCCAAAGTCCTTTCGAGTACAGGAGTTAGTACGGTTTGAGAGGCCCTGTCTAGATAAATAGCCCAGTGCCACCATGCTAGTAGTGGAAGTCAAGATCTCTGAAGTTAAATCTACATTGCTCTTGCAGTCTGACTTCAATCCCATATCTGACAAGTGTTTAGCATAAAAACAAAACCCATGTTCAGCAACAGTGGACACCATCATTTGCTCATCATACCAATTAAATGTGGCTTCGTTAAAAAGTGAAGTTGGAGCTTCCAAAATATCCTGCAGATTCATCATTATCATGACAACTGAAATAAACTAAGAAGAAAAACTTGAAATTTTATTGCAGCCATCACAAGGAACTTACACATTCTTTTTGTTTTAAGTTACCAAACAGCAAGTCAGCCTCTGAAATTAGATTGCTGATACCACAAGCCAGTTTAACGACTTCAAAAGCACCTGGCTGTTCAGTGGCAGCATGCTGTCTTAAATCTGCTCGACATTCACGCAGTTCTCTCCAGATCTTATGTATTACATCAGTCCCCATTGATGGAAAGGGTTCGACAAAATTGGACTTCATTTTGAAATCCACTCGACTGCATTCATCCATCACATCATACACGGGTGAAGGTTCCATATTTTCATCTATCAAATCTTGCACAATCTCTTTTTGAGAAGATTCTGGTATTTTGGTACTTCCCAACAAATCATCATCCAGCACTCGCTTGGCTAAGCGCTTGCGAACACTGAAAGTGAATGGTGGTAACTCATTATTCACAGAGACTTCCAAAGGACCATCACCATTGCCACAAGACACTGCTCCAGAGATAGTTTCTATTTCATCAAGAGTCTCAGGAACAAAAGTTGATTCCGGAACACAGGATACATCAAGTGACTTGGATGTTTCACTTGAACACATAACGTCAGCTGTTCTTAAATGTTTGTTCAGGTCTACCTCAGACTCCTCCAATCCAGCACCCCGCTTAAAAAATGATACGCTGGTGTATTTTTTATTCATTGGAAGTTTTGATGGAGTATCACTGTTGTCCACAAGAGCTGGTCCATTGTCGGCATCATCACACATGTCAAGAGGGTGCCCATTATTTAAATCCTCATCCTCAGAACCAGAGGACATCACTACAAGCTTCCTTTGAATCTTCCTTTTAGAAGGTGCAACCGGGGTGCCAAAAGAATTTGAAATCTCAGAAAGAGCATGAAATTGAGCTTCCAATTGGCTGTAGTCTGTAACAGATCCATTCCTCTCAAGCATTTCTACTTTCTTCGACTCTATATAATCAGTTCCCACCTGCTTCACATCCGAATCACTTTGCTTTTCATTCAAGTCAAGCTGTTCCTCAACTAACCCCTGCAAACTAGAGTTTTCTTCCATTGTGGTTATTACCCTGGTAACTTCCTTCTCAATTAGTTCAGATAACTGAGAGGGAAAACCCCAGGGCATCATCTTGGGCAGTATCTGATGGCCAACCTCAAGGTCAAATGGAAGCGAGCCATACAATTTCTGTGCTTTTTTGTCTGGACAAGAGATGAAATCATAACTTTATTGCATGTCATAACCATGTAGAAACCAAAAATCACCCTCAAACCATAAAAAGAGAACACGGCAAAAAAGAAAGAAATAAAGGGGTATCAATTACCACTGAGCAGAAATCTCAAGACAAAATCCTATACAGATGATAAAAAAATGCCCTCTTAACGAATATATTAAGTCTGCTTGTCTTTTAGTAATACTACTAGTAACAACTAAAAATTTGCATGACTTAACCCATCCAAGCTTCAAATGTAACTATGCCAACTTTTTAAATATTTCCTCAGTCAATAAATGCAGATAATAAGATTCCGTCATAGCAGTTTACATAAATATTAATATTGAAGATAGGAATTGAAGGTCTTAAATGCAAGAGAACACAATACACAGTGATGAAGCAGAATCATTATGGTTTTCAGACAAGATAATGATTCATAATCATGCATGATATAATAAGATGCTCTCGGTGGTGCACCTTTTCTTAATCTTTTACTCTGGAACCAGAACTGAAGATGCATCACAGTTTTGCGGATATCTCCATCGCAAAATTGTATAAATTTCTCCAGTACAAAAGGATCAATGTTGACTCCTTCCGTAACACAAACCTGCAGTTTATTAGTTGCAACATTATAAAATTTGAGACTTCCTCCTTTTCCCTACTTAAAGAGGTAGAGGTATCCTTGAGCACATACCATGTACAAATGACACAGCAACTCCTTTGTGGATGGCAATGAGAAAGAAACATGACGTCTACTAAAATTATCTGGCAGAGCAGGATTATAACCTGATTCACAAGAATCATAAAAAATTGAACACTTTGATAAAAGCTATAACAATTTATTAAATTAACATGTCATCTTACTATTGCAGGTTAATATGATAGGCCCCTTTGCTGTCTCGGCAATTTGTTGTATGGCAGCAATACATCCACGATCTTCAGGAAAAAGGATGTCCACATCCTCAACTAGAATTAATGTTTGGACTTTATCATATCCAATTAAGTTTCTCTGGCCCGGTAACATACAAGATGTTGCAACTGGGCAGACTTCATCATCAGATATGGCTATTGGTCCAATTACCCCTTCATTTAACTCATCAGATGCTTTGTTACTAGGCAAAGCTAGGCCTAAGGACAGCTTCCTCTTTTTCTTCATTGGTGAACCATCCGTGTGTTCCAATAACCTTGATGTACAATATATAAGAACCATTATTATAGGACAACTTAATGAAAACATTTCCCACCAAGAGTGGCTTAATTTTACTAGAACTACTTGATACTTAATTGAATGGAGGAACACAAAGTAATAAAGCAGTTTGACCAAAAGGTTCGTATTCTTTTTGTCCTTTTTCAAATTCATGGTGAAGAATGAACCAAGAAACAGCCCAGCCCCACATCATAAGCTTATCACCTAAGACATCTATGGGAACAAAGTAACCAGCGCCAGTTAATGCTTGGTCCATGCTTGATTTGACACTTACTACTCCCTAACTATCTGGACATCTAAAATTTAATTTACACCCTTCCATTAGTTGTTATCACAAGCTAGTAAATCTCTGAAAATTGACATTGAGACAACACACAGAAAACTTTGTTGATTTGCATGTGTTTCTAGGAAGTAAGAACACAATGGCTCATGCCATCCAGCATATACTTTCATTTAGTGAACTGATTTCTTGGGATGAAATGCATCTCCTCATATAAAAGGAATGCTAAAATAAGTCAACTGATGATACAATTGCTAAGGTCCAAAACCTTTGCATCAGATTTCTAAATGCATTGACAAGAAATTCTCACCTTTTGAACCCAAGCGATCCAAGAGCATCTCCAAAGTGCTGCTTGACAGCAGTCCCATTTCGACAGTCTGATGTATTGAGCTGTTTAGTCAACAGGCTCGGTAAGGCATAATATAATTTTCTTGATAATGATAATAACGGACAAAGGAAATTTTAGGTTAATATAAATTTCTGCTAATATATAAATTTTGCAGTAAGCAAATTATGTAGCTTGGCTTGTGAATAGTACATTTTGGATTGTGATATGATCATTTGTTTAATTATTTCAACCATTGAAGGATGTGACTTTGAAATTTGAATAAGTAATTTGAATTGAATAGTAAAGTTCAATCTCTGACTACGCTATTGTATTATAGTTTTTTATATCATAATGCATCCTATGCAACATGGACCCACATTTCTAGTCACAGATAAAACAGTTGACAAGAGAGTGGGATATATTATACATCTATTTATTAAAAATATTGCATCGAAGATTACAGCATATTTGTTTAATGCCCATTGAGCACTGAGTTGAACAGGGCAACATCAAAGTGCGATGCACATAATTTAAAATAAATTTAAATCTATATCTGCATGTACCAAACATAAAAATGCAAAGGTAGGCTTGATTCCAAATCTACGGGGAAAAACAGGCAAGCATAATAAAACATCAGAATAACCACTTCAAAAAGTAATTACTTGGCCTCACATTCACTAATGTTTTCAAGGATTGAATGCAATCAAATGCATGAAATAAGTGAATTCATATAATTATATATGCAGCACAGTAAAAAAGATTAACTAGCCAAAACATCTTAAAAACAGATACATCTCAATGGATGAAGAAAAAATACCTCTAGAACCTCAAACCCCTCCTCTTGTGCACAAGCATATATAGCCGCAGATTTGCCACTCTACAACAGGATATTTTTATGCCTTAGCCACCAATGTGGATGTTACACAACAAAATATTTGATTTAGCAACAGATAGATAATGATGATGCTCTACAGCTACCAGCAAGACAAAAAAGAAAAAAGAAAAAGTGGAAATTCAAACTTCACACACATATTTTCAATGAAAATTACAGGAAGGCAGATTATCCTATCCTTAAACTGGAAAACTATGCAGCAGTACCCCAAATACCAGAATGCAATATGCCTCGTACAAATTTCATGTGCAACAGCAAAAGCGCTTTTAACTCATTAGAGTTCAACCCTACAGCTTTACCATAATTTATAATCAGAGTAAGCAGTCAAAATTCATCTCAAGTGCTTTAAAGGATTGCAGTGTTAGCCACACTATAAAATTAATCATTCCATACCGTTTTGATGAGTTGTATCTATTAGGAAGTTTATAAAAAGTTCCTTAAGCCTTAGCCAATTCACTGAGACCGCTTTATCCATATTTTAACAAATAACAACAGTCATCTTTCAAATAAAAGTAGTCTTTAATAGAGGTAAAAATGATGAAGAAAAAACCAATTTGTGCAGACAGAATGTATGCCATAGTTATAACAAAGAAGATTTTCACACACCCCAATTGGTCCAGTAATTAAGAGAACATTCTCCAGGGAGTCCCCCTCAGTCATGTCTTCTGAATCATAGTCACAATGAGAACAGTCATAGTCATCGTCGTCACCACCACCACCATGCATATCACTTTTATCCCTGCACGAGGCATCCTTCCTGCTTTGATAACGTCTTCCATGCCAGAGATGTAACCAGTCACGCAAAAATTTCACGGACTCATCATTACCACATACCTATTAAAGCCATAAAAATATTAATTTCAGAATTTAAAACTGTGGAAAATTAGCAGATGTAACTTCAAAATTAAAAACAAAACTAACCAAAAACGTCAAACCTCAAAGGCCTTTGTTGGCTTGTACTTGTGCGTCCATAGGGTTCCCTCAGCCTTATCTCCACAACTATGGTAATACGACCTCATGCTGCAATGCATAGGAGAAGGAAAAAAACCTGCCTGTCAGTAAATGACATTCCCTAACCTAAAGCTAATTTATATAAGACATAATAAATGAGTCCTTCAATTGTTGAAGCTATTATTAAAAAAAAATATATGCAACAGAAATACATCTATTTTCTCTTGTTGACAATTGAAAATTTCCATTGCCGGACAGCCAGGAAACTCAAGTATAGCAGGACCATACACAACGAGCTCTTTAGGCTTGGAAGACAGGAGAAAGCAAAAGTAAAAAGTAAACAGCAGACATATAATATTACAATCAATAATTCATGCTTATCAAGACATAGACACCAAAAAAGGAAAAATTTTAGTAAAAGCACCAAAAAAAAAAAGATCTCAGAAGCCACAACCTCCTTGCTTTGAGCCAAAAATTCATGAATAAACCTACCAACTTGAACTCTATCTAACCTAGTCATATCTCAGGTGAGATCCAAGCAATTTTTTGCAACCAAGGTGTGATAACAACAACAACAGCCTTATCCATTCAATTAGGTTGGCCACACGGATCGCATTGAAACCAACTCTTCCGATGAACCATAACCAGGAGATCTCGATTGCTGACTGCCTTGAGTGTCTTTTTTGGTCTCTCTCTACCTCTTTTCATATCTTCATAGGGCTAAAGACTATCTGCTAACCCCTCCTTATCGACAACCAAAATGTTCATAAAAAGATAGATCAGAAGGAAACAATTGCACATATTCTAATATTTCAAAATCCTGAACTTCGCAGAAAATAAATCTTTCTTAACTAAGCCATTAGCACATGCCAGGTAGATCAGAGAGGTCATGAGCTGAATATAAGTATTGACAACACTTGGTAGCACTAAATACCATTTGCTATATGAAGTGAAGATTTATATAAATATAGAATCACAAGTAATAACTAGTTATATGAATATATGTCATTGCCAGAAATATGCCAGGTGTGTGTCATGCATGTTTTAACCTTTCTTGAAGAAATCTACTCTGTGGTTCAGGATCTGACTTTCTGAAAATGCCAGCTTGCTCAGTATTGGCTTTCATGTCCTGGTGATAACGTATTTGCCAACAGTAACAAATCATTAAAACAGATGGAAAGAAAATATCTCCGCTTCTAAAAAGCTTCCAATGCTCCCACTGATCACATATAGGCATTTAAATCTTACATATCTTGCTTTTTTTATTTGTGCACAGGAATTACTAAGGAGTATGGACATAAGGTACTTTCTAATATTACAATAAAACATGTACCAGTTTGGCTTCTGGTGGTTGAAGACTTGTTTGCCCACCATCCAGTGAAGCTGAGTTTTCTACTTGAGGCTGCGTAGATTCTATGGAATGTTGATCTGAATAAGACAGGACATTTTGAGAAACTGCAACACCAGAGGGATAACAAGTATTGTGAAGCTTGTCAATATTTAAGGGTTCAATAGAACCCTCAAAAACAGAGGAAAATGAACTTTCTGGACCATAATTTGCTTTGTCAGTCTGCCCCAAAAACGTCCAGTTTTTCCAGTCGGGCAATGATGTATCATCAACATCCTGCATCAAAGAATTTTGCTATATTCTCAAACAGATTGCAGAAGCTATCAACCAAGGAAATAAAAATTGGCCACTTTTGTCATAATAGAATACTAATAACAAATGCATAGGGCAAGTAACGTGCCTGATTATTTTCAAATACATGAATAGGGGCACAGGCAAGTACTTGCTCATCCTTCCTCCTCGCTGCATATAAACTGAGTTCTGATTCAGCTGCCTCCTGAGGTTTCTTCTCAACCTTCCATGAAGAAAAAAAGGGATGCATTTGCCGTCCAGCAAATATCCTTGAATTTTCCTGGATAAATCATAGAGAGAAAGAGTGCGTGCCTGTCACCAATCTTAACAAGCCCCGTGGAAGTAACAGCAAAATTGAAGCCACAGTCAGTAAATAATTTGTCAAAGGTGAACAAAAATATAAATGCGGAAGGACTGCTTATAAAACAAAGAATACATCATTAACAAAATTCCAACAACGCAGGTTACCCATCAAAAACAGATAGCGCAGTATGAACCACTTGCACAAACCTCAGCTGACAGTTTTGCCTCCAAACGCAAATCAGGGACCGCCATACTAATCTGTGCCACATTGGTCAACATTTGCCGTGAACCTGACCCCTTAACCCCTTTGGGCGACCGTTTCTTTGGTGTAGTGTTTTGCAGCTGCTTCTCCTTTTTCTGTAAGGGAAAAAGAAAACGCTGTAAATGTCGCATTATTTGGGTTCGAACCCACCAACTTTTCAATTATCTAATCAGTCTTAATGCAAATATTATTTGGCCCCCATTTTTGGAAGGGGAAAAAGTACTTTTTTTTTTACTACGATATCAATGGCAATCAAACTGGAAGTTGAATTTAACATTAGAATCTCCAGTCCGCCAAAATGCACAGGTGTAATACAAGAATCTCAGGCTTAATTTACTATAGTCTGTTCAAATATTACATCTCGAGAAAATTGAATTGCTGAAATTTGACCTTGGGATTCTTGGATCGAGGAGTAACTTTTGGATTGGAATTTCCCTTCTCATTCTCATTCACACAACAATGTGCCTCTTCTTTCTCTTGTTGATCATCAACGACATTGTTCTCCTCCTGTTCATCAGCTCTGTCATTGGACTCTTGGGTTTTCTGTGGGGACAATGTCGACTGAACCAACTTCCGGCGAACATTCCGGCGCTTGGGTGTGCCCATATTCTCTGACGTAGCATTCTGCGGCAGCTTCTCCTTTATCTATAAGGGGAAAGAAAAGAGTAAATGTCATACTATTAAATTATGATCTGAAAAGTTACCTGAGTTTTACTACGATATCAATGGCAGTCAAACTGAGTTGAATTCAGCATTAAAATCTCGAGTCCGCCAAATTGCAGGCGCAGTGCAGGAACCACGGGCGTAATTTAATTTCAGCTGTTCACATATGACAACTCAGGAAAATTGAATTGCTGAAGTCTAACCTTGGAATTCTTGGTTCGAGGAGTAACTTTCTGTTTGGGCCTTCCCGTCCCGTTCTCATTCGCACAACAGCGAGCTTCTTCTTCCTCTTGTTGATCATCAGCTCTGTCATTGGACTCTTGAGCTTTCTGAGGGAACAACGTCGACTGAACGAACTTCCGCCGAGCATTCCGGCGCTTGGGCGTGCCCAGATTGTTTGGACTAAGCTCCACTGCAGAGCCGTCCATGTTAATAGAATACCTCGTGAAATCAGACGAGATTAGGAAGAATGATTGATTAGGGTTTTGGAATTGGGGGTGATGAAAAAGAGTGCGGTGAAGCCGAGGGGAATTAGGATGAACATGAACTTTCAGAGCAAGCAAATTGGAGGGAAAGACAACTTTGTTCCCGCCATCCGGGTCTAGGACTAGGGCTTCACCCCGGGATCTGTGAAATCCTTTCAATTCAAATCCGTTCTGATACGGGCAAGTTATATAAAATCATCAAATTTCAAATTTGGAAGATAATATTTTTTTATTAGAAGCTGAAGATCAATGCATCAAATTTTTATGCAAATAAATTATGAATTTATAATACGAGGATTATATAACGGTTAATTACAGGGTAAAAAAAATAAAAGAGAACATAATTTTTTCTTGAGATAAATTTATATAAAATAAAAATATATTTATTGATGTGCATACCTATACACACACTCCTTCTGGTTTTATTTATAAACCACATTTTAAAATGTTTATTTGATCTTATTTATAAATTATGATGCAACTTTTTAGATAATATTTAAAAAAAATTAAAATTATCTTTTATAAAAAAATAATATAATATCATTTTTAAATTTGTTATAAATAAATATATTTAAAATTTTACATACTTTTATTTTTTATATTTGTTAATTATTATCAATAAAGTTAGTAAAAATAATCTATGAAGAGGACGGGAGGAGTATGGCAAATGCCAGTAGGAGCACTCTTTTGTCCCCAAAAAAAAAATAATTAAAAGTTGTTATAGTTATTTATATTTATAAAGCTGAAATGCAATATGTCAATCGGAAGCGCAAGCTGAGCTCATTTAAGCTAGTCTTCACAGGCTTGAGTCATTTGGACTCAAATCTGTAAGTCTAATTATTTTAAAATCAATTATTTTCTTAAATTTGACTTTGTTAATAATGCTTAGGGGGAAGCTAGGAAGCCAATTTTTATTATTTTTTTATTGAATTTTAAACAATTAAAATTTTCAATTATAATATTTTATAATTTTTAAAGAAAAAAATTAATCATTTGATCCTTATAATTTTAATTCAATTGTAACTCAATTTTAAATTTTGACTCATCATAACTCAATTTTTAAAATTTTGACTTGATTATAAATCAATATCTGAACTTTCTCTCTTAGTATTTATTCTTGAAATTTTAACCTCTTAAATATTGAGAGGAACTGATAAAGAGTAAAATATAATATTCATAAAATAGTTATAGTTTAAAAAAATAAAATTATAAAAATTAAAATATTTTAAACTTTTAATATTTATAAATATTAAAAATCTTTAGTAATTAAAATATTAGTAATAAAATTTAAAATATTTTTAATCTTTATAATTTTATTTTTTAAAATATAAGGATTAATATTTAAAAGGTTGAAACTTTAAGAATTAAATTATAAGAAGTAAAGTTTAGAAATTGAGTTATAACTGACTCAAAATTATAATGACCAAATTATTAATTTTTTTATTTAAAAATATAAATTATAATGTTCTAAAATTAAAAAGAAATAGCAGAAATTCTAATTTTAAAATATAAATATATATTTTAAAATTTCAATTCAATTTAAAAAGTAAAAATAATTTCTTAAGGATGAAACAAAAACGCCTGAACCTGTATTTTAAGGACTTATCAAAGTTATAAAGTTTAATTTCTTTAAAAAATATCGGTTTTTTAATCTAAATTCTTATAAAATTAAGTTTAAATAAGGGGTCGTCAATAGGGCTTTTATTTCCGGCTCTAATGTCAATTAGTAGGCAAATAAAATAACATTTAAAATGAACGTGTCACGGCTAATGGACTCTTGGATGCCGGTGGGTCCCCATCCAGCAGTACGAAATAAAAATGCTTCGGTGGCCTTAAAATCTGGAAAAACCCAAAGCAGAGTATCCGAGCCAACATCTAGTCTGATGTGGGCCACACCCGACTGTCCCCAAATTTCAAAAGCAACTTCCTAAATTACCATAACATCCTCGCCTCAGCTGGTCCCAAATCTCATATATCATCATCAATATAAAATCAAACCCCGCATAAATTAACCTCGCTCTGCTTCTATCATAATAAAAGATATTTATTTTTAATGTTGTTTGTTTATCCGACGTTTTCGGGGGAAAGATCGGTATTTCTTGAAAATTCAAAGCACACGGGGGCAAACAAGACCAGCTGGGCACCAACGTCGGAAACTCTTCATCATGGAGAGTGTGACCGATAGAAGGGGGCAAAGCAGCCACTCCTGATCTTTCTGTCTAACAATCCAAGCCCTTTTTGCTTTTTCTCTCCCAAATTTCTACTCTCCTTCTAGCTCTTCGACGCTGGCCTGAAAAGAAAACGCAATCAATCCCAGACCCCTGAAGTCCTCTTCTTTGCAGGGGAGAACTCGACCCTTCCTGTTTGTACCTCTGATAAGCTTTGCCCCTCGAATCTTCCATCTTTCTGGAAATATTCTTCGGTAGTTTTCCGTCCCGAAGGCCAAGACGTTTCCTTTGCGAGAGTAAAAACGAGCTTCGTTTAGCCTTCTTTGTCAACTTCAAAGGCAAACCCTGCGCCGGAAATATATCTATTTTCGGGTTATCTGGGTGTTTAGCACTGACGTTGCCACGATGCCCAATAAAAAATCTACCTTGCGAAGCACTATTCTCTTGTTACTTTTGCAGGTTTTGAATTTGATGAATGTCGCTCATGTGAGGTGCAAATCTACAATCGAGCCCTGCTCCAACTCTGACTCCTGCAATGCTCTGCTCGGGTATACCCTCTACACTGACCTAAAGGTCTCTGAGGTGGCTTCTCTCTTTCAAATTGACCCAATTGCTCTTCTGACTGCCAATGCCATTGACATTTCTTATCCCGACGTGGAGCATCACATTCTTCCCTCCCGGCTCTTCCTCAAGATCCCTATTGCTTGTTCGTGTGTTGACGGAATTCGCAAATCGGTGTCGACCCACTACAAAACTCGGCCCTCTGACACTCTCTCTTCGATTTCGGATTCGATATATGGTGGTCTGGTGTCTGCTGACCAGCTTAGGGATGCCAATTCGATAAGTGACCCTTCGGTACTGGATGCAGGTCAGAATCTTGTCGTGCCGCTTCCATGCACTTGCTTCAATGGTACCGATAACTCTTTGCCTGCAATCTATCTGTCGTATGTGGTCCAGCCAATCGATACTTTGGCCACAATTGCGGCGAGGTACTTTACCACTCTGACTGATTTGATGAATGTCAATGCCATGGGAAGTTCAGCTATCAACGACGGTGATATTCTCGCTATACCGATACCCGGTAATTTCTGGTTCTACTTCTGCTTGTAGAGTTTAGCCTTTTCTTTTCAGGTACCTCTGTTCTTCTGTTTAAACTCGTAATAATTCTGAGTGTTTTCCTGTTTAAGCTTTTATCAGTTGATTTGTCATGCTTTTCAATTGGTGCTATTATTCATACAACTTGCAAGAAGTTTCACCGTAATGTTGACAAATTGATTATCACTTGGGAAATAATATTTGTAATGTTAATTTTACTTCAGCCTCTAGCGTCCACTGCTGTGCTGTTCAGTCTCTAATTCTGTTTCTCATGTTACAGCTTGCGCATCAAATTTCCCAAAATATGCCTCTGATCATGGTTTGCTTGTCCCTAATGGAAGCTACGCCATCACAGCAGGTCACTGCGTGCTATGTAGCTGTGGGCCGCGAAATTTAAAGTACTATGCAACTTCATTTCTCCGTTGGTTTCTATGATTTCCTCTTTTTCTTTATTATTATAAATCTGGCTTCTCTTTCATAGACTGCTAACCATTGCATTTGGGTTTCTCCGCAGTTTATACTGTATGCCTGCTTCTCTGGCTGTATCTTGTTCCAGCATGCAATGTAAAAGAAGCAATCTCATGCTCGGAAATGTTACAGCGCAGCAGAATAGTGGTGGTTGCAGTGTTAGTTCTTGCAATTATGATGGTTTTGCTAATGGCACTATAATAACAGCGTATGTCTATCCTGTGCCTGCTGGCTTTTGTCCGGGATTTGCAATATGGACCTTTTTTGCTGGACTTGTACATGAATTGTAAGCTCATTCAATCTTTCTCATCCTGCAGATTGTCTACATCTCTTCAACCTCGATGCCCAGGTACGTGTGGTGTTAAGTTTTTTGTTTTCACGTCCACTAATCAAGAGAAATTCTGATTGCGTGTTCACTCGAATCATTGTATTCCACTAAGCGTCCGTCACTTTTGGGCAACATCAGTCAACATAGTTTTGGAAATTAAAGCAATGACAGTAGGCATAGCAACCGAGGCCTAGCTCCACCTAGGCATTTGGATGAATGCCCTCAGATTAATTCCGAACATGCTCCCAACCCCTACCACCCACCCAAAAAAAAAAAAACAGAGAGAGAGAGAGATGTGAGGACAGGGTATTGCTTCTTCGTTGGCCGGTCCAATGTGTTAATGTCGGATGTGTCTGCAATGTTTTCATGATGTAGGGCCGCAACAATTTCCTCCACTTACAGCACCGCCTACTTCTGTTGCGAGGGATTCAGTATTTGCACCAGCACCAGCACCAGCACCTCTGTCAGATGGAGCCGGTAAATCATCACCGAAATCATCAGCTGTGCCAAGGTCGTTCCCAGGGTCCCAACCTGCAAATGGCCCTATTAGTGGGCTTACTTCTGGTGCTTCCGGTGCTTGCTCCTTGGTGAATCCACTACCTGCTTTGACATCTGCGCTTGTGTTTTTGCTTGTCAAGTTGATGATCTCCATGGCATTGTAATTTGTAATCTCCGCAGTTTTGAGCCGAGATGGTGGGTTTCCCCTGCCTGTCAGTTTCAATGATCTATCTTTAGTTACATTTCCTTTTCTTTGGCTGTATTTGTACCAAACGGTCTCCAAAGTGATTATTATTAAAACTCAACGAATTTAGTGACCAAACCCTTGGTGAATGGAAGTTGGCCTCTGTAGCCTGCAGTGTGGTCAACTTCAGAGTTCAGAGGTATTTGCTCATGTTGCTGCGAACTTCCTGTATATTTCTTTTATTGAAAGTACACTTAAGTTCGTTTTTCTTATCTGCTTTTGAATGCGGCCGGTAACTTCGGTCGGTTTTGACAACCTTTTTAGAATATTTGGCAATTATTGTTTTGATTGATGACAGACGAGTCCAAATGGAGAGCTTGTAATAATCTATCTGTTCCCAGAGACCATGGTTTACCAGCCTTGCCTTGCCGTCTTGCCGTCTAACTTCCCATGGCCCCCGTTCAATAGCACCTAAACGCTAGAGCAAAACTCGCTTTCTCACCCTGGCCAAGGTTAAAAAATCGCAATTTTACTGAAAGAATGTCACTAGGAAATTATTTTTTTAATTGAGGTTGGTAGGAGATACCGTCCTAATTCCTAATTGTAACAAAGGTCATTGTATGTCGTTCAGAAAATAAGCCATTGGACTTTGTTTATTTCCATAGCCAAAACATTCAACGGTTTAATTCCAAACGAGTCTCTCAGTCACGTCTGCCCCTCATACATCATAATGCCCAAGTAAAGCACCCATAATTTTCGTTCGTATTAAATATTTCACTTGAGTCTTTCTTGATGAATTAGAGAAGTCTCAACTTTCATTCGTGTTAAAAATCTAGGAGTGGCGGGGACTAGGACTTTACCATCAGAGATTACATGCGTCTAATGCATCTCACCTGACATGCCCAGCAGCAAAATTTTCATGTCTACAAATCCAGGCTTAGCATTATCATGCAGAAACCAGATGTTCAATCCAATCAACCAATTCAGCAGTTCCAGAAGCCAACTGACTTTATCAATGTTATTTACAAGTATTAATACTTGTAAGAAGAATTATCAAGTTCATACTCTAGCAACTAGCAAGGCACTATGAGTTCCATGTATACATTTTTACATTTGACATGGCCATGGAACCTCCACTTCAAAGAGCCCTGAGAGCTAGTTTACCGCCAGTATGAATACCCTTAGCAGCAAGTCTTAAAACCGCACGGCTTTTGTACAATCTGTTATCAAAATAAAAAACAAATGAATAAAATGAGGAATGAAACATTTTTCAACGCCCACATTCTTTTTGGGCAATCTCATAAGGTTATTAATGATTTTGAAGGAATGAAGACTTGAAAAATTTAGATGCACTTTAGCTTTGGCTTCTGAAGTGTGGGTTTCCCTACTATCAAATTTAGAATTATTAATGTGTTCTTTTAAGTTCTGAAAAATTAGTTTCCACTTTGAAAAGAAATCCCTTCCCTGTCCCACCCTACCACACATATGAAGGGTAAACCAATAAAAAAAAAAAAAAAACTAATGTATATGCTTGTATGCGGGTCAAAAGAGAGGCGCGCGCGCACAATCACGTGCAAAACAATCACGTGCAAAACGTACGAGGTCCTTGCATAAGTTTTACAAGTCTGTCATGTAGGTCATGGTAGATGATGTGTGGATGTAATCAATTATCAATCAATCTATTTTATTAAATTGTCCAAGCAAGCTAAACATTTGCAGACATGGATAGAGTCATACCCAGCCAAAGCTAGTCCCCAGGTAGACAGTGCATAAAACATCTTCCCTGCATGCCAAATATCTATTACCCTTTCCAGTTTGCTTACGCCACCCAATGCCTTCAATAAAGCTGTGCATCAAACGATTTAAAATATAAAAGATGCCAAAATATTGCCACTTCATTGCACTAGCAACAAGACGCAATTCTACACTTAATCCAAGACCAAATCAGAGCAAGGGAAAAGGATTCAAGATCATATCAGAGCAAAGGAAAAGGATATCAAATGTTCAAACTCCAAAGAAAATTAAATATGTAGTTATCGGAATTAGAAACGTTAAACCACAACAACGAAAAGGAAAAAATCAACACAGTAAATAATTATCGGAGAAAATAATAATTACACTATTTTGAACAACAGTTACCACTAGACGAGTAAGATTAGATCAGCCGTGGAACAAGCTCAAATATTCTATAAATAATTATTTTCCTGTACAGCATAAGCTTAAATGGGCTGGGCCAGAGGACCTTGACCCAGTCCATTCAAGCAATAACATATAACAAATTAAGATGCAAGCTTTTTTTCTTACAAATTGGATTAAGGGAATGTAATAGACAACCCATACAAGATACAACGGAGGTCGACCAGAGACTTACTTTTCCGTAGTTCCTCTGGTGACAAATTCTGCAATCAAAATGAAAGAAACAAAGTTAGATACAGCAAATAGAAATAACAATCCATATAAGTGTGAACATACTCGAGCTTTCGGGTTTGACAGAATGCACTTAGCCATAAAGTTGGCAACTCCATCTACCACATGTTCCTCACCAATGACTACGTAATTTTCATCGTCAATTCCACTCCATTCCTCAACATTGCTCAGTTCGACTTCATCTTTGACCCACACCCACCAGCTCGGTTCTTCAGAATCAACACTGATCAAAATATCCACAGACTGATAATCAAGCTCTGCCGTAGAACGGCAGCAGCGTAAAGTTGTCAATCCCAAGTAGTTGCATAGATGACATATAAAGTCATTAATTTAACTTCTCGCCCCCAACCCCTGACCAAGATATAGTCAATACCTGTGGCCTCCTTAAAAGGAAATTCATTGCCTCCATCAATACAACATCGTTGGAGGCGCTTAAGCTGCGTCAGGTACTCATCAGACCTCAAGGTATCAACTAATCGACCTTGCAGCTATATTAACAACAAGAACACATAAACAGAATGCAAGATACGAATAGGGAGCGGGATAGCATATCCAAAATGAACGAAAAGATCTTTTGTTATTAAAAATAAATAAATAAATAAATAAAAGTAGGCTCATTTTGTTCCCTTTTCATTTAGCTTGCAGCAATACCAATTGTTAGAAAACTAGCAGGATTTGTATAAAAGCTAACTATTCCCAAGAACGAAGTAACATAAGAGGGCATACGTCTGGAGGACAATCATTCAAGAATGAAGGTGATTGAGAAAGCTTGTGAAGCAACACCAAATTCTTCTCTAGCAAACTCCTCAGGCGCCGATTTTCGGATCGAAGTGACTCCAAATTTTCATCGTTTTCGTTTGATGAACTGTCAGAATTGCCGTGGTGGCGGAGATGGTGACTGCATTCCACGGCAGTCCAAGCCACATCGGCAACCTCCAGCACCGTCTTGGCCACCTCTACGGCGCTCGGGCTCACCATAATTGCAGGGACTATGAATCTCGAACCCGAATTGGGCGAATCGTTCGATTGGGAAATTGGAAACCCTAATTAAGTTTTCTGCCAAGGCGTTCTTCGCTTCCTTTTTTCCGCGCCGGGGAAGGTGTTCTTAACGTTTGCGCAAAGTGAAATAGAAATACTCCTTTTACTTTTATTTATAAATTATTTTTATTAATTTTATTAATATTAATATAATAAAAATATAAATAATAAAATATATTAAAATTAAAATTATAAATATAACTCTTAAAAAATAAATGAATTATATAATATTATTTTTTTTATTTTTAAAAAATAATTTAAATATTTTATTTATAATAAAATATTACTATTAATTTAATAATTTATAAATTTATTTTTTTAAAAGATTATTAATAATGTAGATCGGAGGGAGTATATCTTAGAGAAGTTAACAAAAATAAAGAAATAGGGAGGGGGAATTCCGTACGCATGACATTAGAGTACTTGTTCTGATTTTTAACATAAGGCAGCGATTATTTGGCGTTATTGATGTGAACATCCATAATTAAAAGAGAGAATGACATCTAAGACTCATGACAGTCATTTAATGAAAATAAAGTTTCAAGGCATTCTTCTTCCTTTTTATAGAGAGACGATTTTATTAAAAATAAAAATGACACTGCATTATATGAAAGCCATTCTATTTAGAAGACTAACTTTAACATGATGATGGGTTTCCTATTTATTTTTGAGATAAAATTTGAACCATCTAAATTTTAATTTAGACGGTTCAAATTAAAAGTATTTTTTATTATATTTATTAAAATAAAAATTTATAAAAATTATATATATATATATATATCAATTATAAAAATTTTAATATTAAATTGAACCATCTAAATTAAATCTAAACCAAATTAAAAATAAAAAATTATTAAAATTATTGAGACAAGCAGGGAAACTCATTTCCTTTAACATGGACCAGAAACAACAAAAACAAAAATAAAAAAAAACACTAGAAGGCTAAATTTAAAGCTCGTAATAGATTCAAATTAAGTCTTACTATATTGAAAAAGAAAGGACATAAAGAAAAAACAAACTCATCCACGACATTAATCAAGCATGAATATGCAAACCAAAGAAGTTGGAGTTTGAATTTTGAAGACAAAGAGAGTCTTGAAAGAAGCTAAACTTTAATGTGGCAAATCTACCTATCCCTTTGAAGGTGATAGCCATAGCCACAAGAGCATCCCCTGTAGGGTTTTGAAAGCCATTGTCCAAGAGTGTAAGACAGTGATAGTTGATAGATTGCATTGCTAAATGGTGGAATGAGGTTGAAGATATGAATACCACAATAACAGAGCAATTCTAGAGATAAAAAAATACACTAAAAGCTAAAAAGAAGTAGCAAAATAAAACTACTAAAGAATAGGGGTAAAGAATAAAGGAAGGCCTCAATTGGTTATTATAGGCTTGATACAAATGGATCGATTAATCATGAGGGATATGCTACTTATGGAGGGGTCATTAAGAATTCAAGTGGCGATTGGATTATAGGATTCAAAAAATGACTTGGTTTCTTATCACCTATAGCTGTCGAACTTCAAGGTCTTATGGAAGGATTGAGAATTAGTAAACAATATAATTTTACTCATACTTACTATCATGTTGACTATATAACTTTGATCCAGCTTTTGCAATAGGGATGTGTGCCGGATCATCCACTTAGGCAAGAGGTACATAAAGCCAAACAGCTCCTATCTTCAATTGAAGACATACATGTTCAATACTCTAATAGAGAGACCAATCGTGTGGCAAACTATCCTGCTAATGAAGCACATAATGTGACCGATTGTTTTGTCCTTTTAAATACACCCCCATTAGATTGTCTTGGTTTCTATCGTCTGGATAGACATTGTAAATTGTTTTGTTTTCTTTTCATTTAGTGTTAGGAATTTTCAAGCCTAGGCTTGTCTTGTAATTTCGAAGGAAAAAAAAAGGCTAAAAACCCCAAGTTGGGTTTCCCAATTGAAGACTAAATGGAAAGAGAAGTAGAAATCCAAGGAAGGACAAAAGAAAAGAAAAAAATAAGAAGGACAATGAGGTTCGAATTAGCGACAATAAAAGAAACTTGAAGGTAAGTTAAGAAAGAGAAAACCAAAATTTAGCAAAACAAAAAACAAGGGAAAACATATACGCACGCGCCGGAGAGAGAGGGGGGCTAGTTGTTCAAGGAGTTGATGGATTCGAAGGGGTGGGAAATAGTGACGAGAGAGAGAGAGGTGATGGAACTGAAACTGAAGCATAAATGGAAAAGAACAATAATTGAAACAAAAATAGAGAAGCAATCAACAAGGAAGCTATGGTAATGGAACTGACAAGCTAACAATAAGGAAGGAGACTAAAATGGTGGCTAGCATAAGGGAAGAGAAAGAAACTCTCCAAAGAAGAGAGACCAGGCTCTCCAAAGGAAAAGGTAATAAATTTACTCTTAGTTCCAGTACATTTTCAAATGTCACTGAAGTTTGATAGGCTCTTAAATGATTAAAAAATAAATATGAAATTAAAAATTAGTAAGAAGGAAAAAGATATCTCACTCACTCTCACCTCGTCTAAAAAAATTGTCATCCCATGAAAGATATCTTATCAATCTAACTCCACCTCCATCGCTCCATCATCATCAACTATTGTGCATTGAAGTTGATGGATCCTTCATTGGGTTCCAATCTCCAATTTGTATGAATTTGATTCTTACAAGGCAAAAAGAGAGGAAGAAGATATATGGAGAGACAAGGACATAGAAAAAAGAAATGAATAAGTCAAATTTCAAACAACTTAAATCAAAGCAAATCGTGGTAAAACTCAAGATGTTTTGCTGTGAACAATGTGAGAAACATAATGGTGAAGTCAAGTCTAAGATTAAATAGCTATATGTGGAGATATGGATGGGAGAAAGTTGGCAAGTGAAAAAAGAGAAAGCGATGGAATTTTTTTAGGAAAATCAAAACAAATAACACATTTCCACCTCACTTCCCATCATAATGAGAAGGTAAAATTGCTATATTTTGTTCTTAGACAATAGTAGCAATCATCATCAAATAAATTTTGCATGCACTGTGCTAAAATATATAGATTTTTAAAAGTACTCAAGTTCCTTCTTTGTTCTTAAATTTAATTCTTGTCATCACTATCATACACTGCTTGTTCCGCTACCATACTTATAGTATTATCCAATAGTCCCATAAAGCGAACCTGGTTTGTTATAATGCTTTAATTGCTCCAAGTACTAATAGGGCTACTTTACACTGTGGATAAGAAAAAGTGGATGGAGTACTATAACCTAGTATTTTTTAGAAGAGATCAGAGCGACAAGGTACCTTCCTCCTCCTAATTTTTGGTTCAGTAACCAAGGGCATTGGAGTAATTGTATATTTGTTTTTTAATCATTTAAGAGCTAATGAGATCTTGTTGGCGTTTGAAAATGTCTTGGAACTTTATTTACATGAAATGGGTCATCTTAAGACTTTGATGTCATTCTTCCTAATCATGTTGCTAGTACCATTGCTTATGCTCCTAGAGAAACATCACACGTTTAAACAAGCAATAGTCATCTTTTACATTTCATTAAAGTTTGTTTTCTAATTACGAAATAAAATTTGTTTGGCATGCAAGAGTAAATGGGTACAAGTTTTATGTATTATATATATCATGCAAATTATATATAAATAATTTAAATTGTTTGACAAATCGATGATGATCCTTATTGAAATATGTCTGAACTAGAGAGCCTTGAGCAATATAAGAAATATTTGTTGAAATTATTCTGTCATGTACATGATATGAGACAAAAAATTTTATGAGCAAGAAAGAGACCATTTTATTAGCCAGTAGAAAAATATATATTACACATGCCAATTCACCTATAAAACAAAAGCTAGGAAAATAAGTAAACCTGGCATGCAAAATGTAGAGATAAACAAAGCAAAAATATAACATGCCTATGCCCCAAACACCAAGGAAAAAATAAAATAAAAACACTAGCCAACACTTGTTCTCTTACTTGTCTTAGAATTTTAATCACAAGTGACTTCTCCATTTGATATGTTGATCGAGATTTGACAACAAATCCATAAGCAAGGAAGGGGTGGCTGAGAAAACCATCTTTGAATTTGCACAACCTCCCTTCAGGGCTGTGTGAAGATAGTTTGAGGCTTGAGGCAAAATTATTAGTAAAGCCTGGCATGTATAATTGTCCAAAAAAAATGCACTCATTATTTTTTTACAAAATTTTGTATTAAAATTTTATAATATAGTGTCTAATAAAATATTAAATTAATTCAATAGTTAAATAAAAATTAGTGTTGACAAAATGCTCCTACCCCATCTTATATATTGAGATGGAATATTAATAATGATATGGGATGGCAATACATTTTTAGCAAAAAAGATATAACTAAGACTAATAATATCAATGATTAAAGTGAAAAACTAATTATAATTATATAAATTATAAACAAGATTTTTGATGAGGCTTAAAGGTGTCATGCTAATGGTCTAAAGCTACATAAGGTCTTAATAATATTGTCAATATTTTAGGCTTTAGAATAAGAAAATAATAAAATGAAAAGTGAGATCATGAGATGAATTTAATGCGAGTTAATGTAGTGCAAATTAGTATATTATGGATCTCACTATTTTTTTATGTAGCCAATGAACTCAGCTCATTAATTAATGTTATAATGGGAATGATTAGAATTTTTCAACAAGAAAAACAATCAATACTTTTTATTCTCTTTCATCTGCAATTAATTATATAATAATACAAATATCAATTACACAAACATATATATAATAGGGGTATTAATATTTTTTTTAAGGCTTGAGGCAATTGCCTTACTTGTCGTATGGCTTCCACTGCCTCCCTCAAGCCCTTTATCCTCGGGACTCACCATTATTTTATCTTAGAAGTCATTCACTTCTCTCCAAATCTATCTCCAATTCCATAGCTTTCAACAAGTCCATATGTTCTACCATAAAATGGTGAATTAGCCTAAATAGCCCAAACCACCAACAAACTTGCGACAATTACTTCTAATAATCACACCACCTGAAACCCTTTTATTGTTGTAATGAAATACTGCATCAAAAATAAT